GTGAAAACATACCCAGTAAAAGCCAAAATAGGAAAATTATTATTTCAGTAAAAGATACTCTTCATGAAACTTGCAGGAAATATTTGCACAGAAAAATAGAACAAAGAATAAGCGGGGACTTGACTCTCTTGAAAACGATAATGCTTTTGTCTCTGTTGACCGTACATTTTCATTTTGATAATAATTATTAAAAATATAACTTTTTTTTTTGCAATGAATCCTTTATACTCTCAAAATAGCAGGAGAACAAACTGAAATTTGCTGTCTGTTTTAAAATATGGGTCACTTTGAAAAATGCAAAAACTTTTTCCAGTAATTTTCACCCTTTCCATTCAACTTGAAATACTGGTACTTCAGTTTGGGTTAGTTTGGGTTAGTTGCACTGCTGAGTTGTGTATTTTTCTATGGATATAGTGAAAGTTTCGGAAACAGCTCTTTACACACAACTACAAAAAGGAGCTTAACGTATATTGTCTGCTAGTGGGTACATCACCAAGAGCACTACGTAGGTGCGCCACATGATTCTCACGTTCGGGGTTTTACGTACATATACGGGAATGCAACTGGTTCCCACACGTATAGGCGGCGATGCCCTGAAGAGCAAGACTCTCTGGAGTAAGGCGACCCTGAAGAGGATTGTAGCAAGTGCTCCTTTGGGGAAGGAGACCCTGAGGAGAGAAGGACCCGAATGCATCGGTTCTTATATCCATTTCGTGTAAACATTAGTTTACGCGTTGACCTGCTTAAACTGCTGATTGTTGATTAACCGTGTTTAATTAATGGGTTTTTGATATACAGAATGTGGTATTATGTTGGAAACTTCTATCATTTTTAAAATCTGCTTAAAATGCTCATGTTTCTGGTGGAACAGCTTTCTAAAAAAACCTTAATTTACCTTTGCTTTTATCCTGAAGCAGAAGCACCATTTAGAGTTGAATAAGTCATCATCATCATACGTGATCACTCGATACCGAGTATGATTATTTTCTATTCTATTCTTATTGACGTCGATTTTGGATTTTCAGATGGCTATATAAACCAATTGTGGAGCCACACACCCTTTCTTCAGTGTTGGCACACCTAGCATATGACAGCATTGGTTCTCCTTTTGTTCTCTCGCTCCTTGCTGCGGTCCCTCTTTACGGTTTCGTGTCTACGTCACTGTTCTTCAAAAATTTGTGGTCCGTCGTGGACTACTCGACTCTACGAAGGCTTTTCATTTGCCGCCGTCTCCTGTCTCCCAATTCAGCGTCAATGGTTGGGAAGTGTTCTACGTTCTGCACATGCGCTCCTCTTCTTCTATCTATAAGGTCTTGAATTTCAGTGTCGTTCTCATCAAACCGGTCTTGATGTTTCTTTCGTAAGTAGCCGACCGTTTCTTCGGAGGCAGATGTTATTGCGGTCTTCAATATTTGTTTGTGCTCCTTAATACTCTCTCCGGGTACTCTGACGGAAGTTTCTGGCTTAGAGAGACTTGGAAGTTTGTCCTGATATGATCTTGAATAAACTTTTGCTTGAACTGTTTTTTTTTTACATTTGTAGCGGGTATCGAAGGGAACTCCAACACTATGCATTATACATGTTTTTTAATGTTTTTATTCAATAATTTGACTGGAAAAAATACAGAGTCGGCAAAATAATAGCAATAATTACTGATAATTGATAATGAACTTGACAACATGATCGGGAAAACTGAATGACTGATTGACTGATTGATGATAATTGTCAGACACGGTAGTAGCACAGTATTAGTGGCTATGGCTACGGCAACGGTAGTAGCTATGGCTTTACACAGGTAGGCGTTACATTCTCCCCCTTTGGAACTTGCAGTGTCTCGCCAAAGTTCCAACAAAATTAGACATCGTCAAAAAACTTTTTGGGTCGTCGAATCCTTGAAGTCCTTCTACTAGATGGACTACCTCTATGTCGAATAGACCTAACAGGAACTAGATCTTCGTCACCTATGTACTTGCTGAGAGCTGATGAATGGTATGTACCCACCGGTACTGTTGGAGATTAGGTGGAGGCAGTCTAATAAGAGGTTGGCGATACTATCTTCAGGATTATATAAGGGCCATCTCTTCTAGGGGCGAACTTGGATGAGTAAGACTGCGATCCTTTGCTCAACACATGCGAGTAGACCAAAACCTTTTCTCCTATAGTGAATGGTTCATTGCGTCGATGTTTGTCAGCATACATCTTGGACGCATCCTTTCTCAGTTCATTTGTCTCTCTAACGTTGGACAGGACATTGGCAAAAATCTTTAATTTTGGGGTGATCTCAGGAATGAAGTTTTCGCTATTAACGAAAGCTCGAAGAACACGTTCGACATCATGCGGGGTTCTCAGTTCACGGACAAAACATAAATAGGCAGGGCTGTAACGAGTAGATAGGTTCTTGGCAGAGTTCATTGCAAATCTCACAGAAGGCAAGGCTTCTTTCCATCTCGTATGATCCCTTTCCACAAGTACTACTAACTGGGTCTTCAGATCTCTATTTTTTCTCTCTTCAGGATTAGAAGCTGGGTGATACAACGGTATAAGATTTTGGGTAGAACCGAGGCAGTGAGCAACTTGTTGTATGACACCTGTGACAAACTGCGTGCCATTGTCACTGACGCCCTTTCTGGGAGCTCCATATCTGAGAAAAACTTCATCGATAAGGTATTTCGCACAAGCTCCAGCTGTAGCATTTTTCAGTGCGAATAATTCTATCCATTTGGTGGCAGTATCTTCTCTAGCGAAAACCCACCTTTCACCTGTTTCTGCTTCAGGCAATGGTCCAAATAAATCCATAGGTTTCAAATCGCTGAGCCAGAACAGGAGTCTGAGTCAAACCAAAAGGCTTAAGATTTGTTGGTTTGTATCTCTGACATTCTATGCATTTTCGGATGTGTTCAGTAGGTAATGTCTTTTCTCATCGTCGGCCAGTAAAACCTTTGTGAGATTCGTTTCAAAGTTTTGTCGATGCCGTAGCGTCCTGCAAGTGGAGAATCATGGAACTCATGGAGTATAGACCCTACTCGATCTTGAGGAACAACTAATTTGGCTTCGTCAGAATCGGAGTCACTGGCATAACGGTGTAAAATCCCAAAATCCCCTGAACCATAAGGTAGCCTCGATTGGTCCATCTGGCAAAGTCGACAGTATCAGAATCAGCATTCTCGAAACAGTCGATAATACTCTTAGTGTATGGATCAGCAGCCTACTTATTAGGTAGCAAAATAGTAACTGTGTCGACAGCTATAAGTGACTGGTCATTATTATCCGAGTCAATGGGTGGTCTTGATAATGTATCTGCGACGACATTCGTATGTCTTGAGGTCGAAAGCTTGCAGTTGAAGTGCCCACCAGGCCAATCTACCAGTTGGTGATTTTAATGTCATAAGCCATCGGAGAGGTTGATGATCAGTTTTGACATAAACTGGTGAACCTTCTATGTATCCGCGAAACTTGTTGACTGCGTAGACAAGTGCAAGGGCTTCCCGATCAGTACAGCTATAGTTCTTCTCGGCCGCAGTAAGTGAACGACTTGCGTACTCTGCCGGTCTTTCGTCGGGTCCCTCCCCCTGGAGCAAACATGCACCAATAGCATAGGCACTGGCATCAGTCTTAATAATGTATGGCTTGACGCAGAATAGGTGCTGTAGTCAGGAGAACACGAGAACTTTGAGCTTCTCGAACGATTCTTGTTGTGCCAAATTCCACGACCACGAAACATTCTTCCTTATCAAGTTACTTCGCGGTCTGGAGACATTGGCAAAGTTTGGAATGAATCTACGGAACCATGAACAAGTCTGAAGAAAACTGAGAACTTGTGTCACGTTCTTGGGTGCGGCAAGATGGGTGATAGCGGCAAGCTTTCCCGGATCGGCTCTGATACCATCTCGTCCAATAAGATGACCAACATATTTAACTTCTGAAGTACAGAAAGTGCATTTCTTCTTGTTCACCTTCAACTTGTAAATGCGCAGACGGTTGAAAACATCACTCAAGTCTTTGATGTGTTGTTCAAAAGTCGTGAATAAAATTATTAAGTCATCAAGGTAGATGTTAGGAACGGTTTATTAGCTTTTGAAACGTTGCTGGAGCTGTGGATAGACCAAAAGGCATAGTCTTATATCGATAAAGTCCAAATGGCGTGACAAAGGCGGTTTTATCACGATCTTCTTCTCTGACAGGTACTTGATGATAACCACTCTTCAGGTCTAAGGTGGTTATGTAGTAAGCTTTTCCAGTTGAATGGATACGAGGCAACGGGTAACGAACATTCTTGATGGCAGCATTCAATCGGCGATAATCAACACAAAGACGTGAAGTTCCGTCTTTCTTCAGTACAAGGACGACTGGAAATGCGTACGGCGATTCGCTTTCTTCAATGATATCGCTGGCAAGAAGTTCCAAATTTCAGTTTGCTTTATTCCATATAATAAACAAAATCGTATAAAAGAATTCAGGTAGCTGACTACGAAATTTATGTCAAAGAGGATCACAAGCCCCTTCCGAAATATCTAAAAATAATTCTCGAATTCACCATTTTTCCTAATTTCTCTAATAATAATCCAGATGGCGTGAAATTTATATTTCAGGAATTTTTGGAGTCGCTGATTACGAATTTAACGCGAAAGCGGAATAATAATAATCGGTTGATAGTCTGCCAGGTGATGCTATTGCTTAGAATTTATTTCAAGACAAATTACTTCCTACCATCAGAAATATAGATACATTCTTGGATTTATTAAAATGTTGAGGAGAAATCTTTTTGAAAAACGGACTTATTGTCCATAAAATGAGAATTTAACATGCAATCAATATCTTTATTGCCATATTCATTTTCAAAGAATTAGTTAATGTCATGAATAAGGCAACATTGTCAAAAGGTGAATGTTATCCAGTTAAACAAAGAAACAATACCTTCCTCATAATTTATTTATACAACAATTTATAATTTAAAACGTCTTCCGTAATAAGACCTATTTTCTATTCAATCTAGAAAATACATATGTGTCAGGATTATACGTGTAAATCGGTCCCTGGATTGGATCCACATTTTCATACTGGAGCCTTGCAGAAAAAGCCATATTTTTACTATCGTCTGTCGTCGAATACTTCACTCTTTGGAGCAGCCCAGTAGGATGATAAATGTAATATTGACCTTTGATTGAAATATCGTCAACTTCTTGTTGCAATTTCGCAGTTTGATTTTGTCTAGAATCAAGCGATTCCACTTGCTCAGGAACACTTGTGGTGGTTGCAACTTCAGGAGGTCCGTATTCTTGAGGTGGTGGACCGTATTCTTGAGCTGGTGGACCATATTCTTGAGCTGGTGGACCATATTGTGACTTTGGAGGAACGTAATTGGTTTGTGGGGTTTGGTCTCCTATCCATGGAACTTCATATACCTTGAAATAAATATAAATATTAAAATTATGTTCAAAATTTGGAGTTTAGTGAAAAGAACGCAATTCAAGCAAACTAGTTGCCGTATACGTATAAGTTGTGAGCAATACATAGTACGCTTTCTGGATGTTGATATTGATCGACTCGGTTTGCAATTGAACATTTCGCATATTGAGTGTTTTCTAGAGTAGCTCGGATTTTCAAGAGTTCAATAAAATATAAATATATATAGTGTCTGCTTAAGATCACACGACAGGAGTTAAAACTCAATTAGGCAAGATTAATAATATGAAACACAGAGATTTTTTTGTGTTCTATATTTATTATTATATTTTTATTTCGTCAGATATTTCTCAATTACGTTAATTTGGCTGTCGTAATGTCGTGGCAACTACTCGCGAAAGTTTGACGCGAGTTTCAGCCCCTTTTACTTCTGTTTGTGGCTGTGTGTTGGTGGAGAAGTTCCTGGGCACTTTCTCTTTGAATGCAGTCCCTTTGGCGGTGAACTTCCCTTTCTTATGGCTCCTGTCGCTGTCTTTGCCGAGTCATGTTAGTGATGGCATGGTAAGTGGAGACTCTGTGGGGGTTTAAATCTGCTGTTTGATGCAAATTGGAGTTAATTACGATATACTCCTATACAGGGTGTCCGGTAAGTATACTCTCGAAAGCGTATAAGAGGGGTCAAAATAACCTTACTTTGGTATAAAAAAAAATTCCTAAAGTGCCCCTCAACGGAGATACAGAGGCCCAAAAGAGTACTTGGCGATCCACATTTTTGGTTCTAACTTTTGAACCGACTTGTATAATTTAATGAAATTTTGATATTTTATGTTGGCCATAAAGAATCATAAAATCATCCTACAGTAGATGTTTCACATAGTCTGGGAAGTCAGGAACGGACTTGCCCCCACATTCATTGTGCCAAATTTTTGACAGGAGTCATTTCACAGAGCTGAATACTGATTTTTTAAATACTTTGGTCATTTCTCTTCAAAAAAGGTTCTCTACATTTGTTTCGATTAAATCAGCCGTTTCCGGAAAAATTAGGTTTTTTTATAACACCTTTAATCATTTACCTTCGAAATTTATTTAATATTCAAGTTGATCCTAGATTAAGAAAAACATGTAGAAGTTGACTTATGAAAAGTACCTTTTTATGGCAAAAAGGTTCAGTTTCAGGTACTTTTTATAAGTTAACTTCTACTTGTTTTTTTTAAATCTAGGATCAACTTGATTATTAAATAAATTTCGAAGGTAAATGATTGAAGGTGTTATACAAAAACCTAATTTTTTCGGAAACAACTGATTTAATCGAAACAAATGTAGAGCACCTTTTACGAAGAGAAATGACCAAAGTATTCAAAAAATCAGTATTCAGCTCTGTAAAATGACTCCTGTCAAAAATTTGGCACAATGAATATGGGGGCAAGTCCGTTCCTGCCTTCCCAGACTACGTGAAACATCTACTGTAGGATGATTTTATGAGTCTTTATGGCCAACATAAAATATCAAAATTTCATTAAATTATACAAGTCGGTTCAAAAGTTAGAAACAAAAATGTGGATCGCCAAGTACTCTTTTGGGGCTCTGTTCAAAGTTGCAAGCAAAGCTCTAAGCAAAATAATTTAAAATACGTATAAAAACATATTCAAAACAAACTTGCTTGGCCGCCACGCCATATTGAATTTTTCATTTTGACAGTCGGATTAAATTGCCTAATTGAGTTTGACAAGTGTCACCAAAAGAAAATAAATTTTTCCAATGAAAATTTGGCTTGTTTTTCTCGTGAAATAGTCCAGCCGAATACCACTCAAGAAAAAATTATGTAGGCAAAATTATTCTCTTGGTTTTATTCAAGTTTGTTGCTTTTTGGTAATTTCGAAGTCACCTAAAATTAAAATTTTACATCATCCCTTTTAAGGCAGCGTGGTACACTTTACAAGAATAATGCTCACAATTATTCTTGTAGAGTGTACCACCAAATAAATAAACTCAGGCACAGGAATGTTCAAAGAATGTAAAGAAAACAAAAAAAATCTCCAGCGCAGCCCTGTTTCACTGCACTGCATGCACTGCACTACTCCATCTGTTCTACTCTATCTGCACTATTCTATCTGATCTACTCTTTCTGCACCACTCTATCTGATCGGGATAGTGGAATAGTTCTGTTCAGAATAACTCCAGTTTCTGAGCGGCATTGTTCTACTGTATCTGCAATGAAATTACCGCGCAACGGCGAGCTTCGTTCTAGGTATCAGAGATGGCGCCATATATGAAATGGTTTGCAATGAAATTGTGGCGGTAAACTTGATATCGGTTATAAGAGATGGCGCCGAATGCGGGCTTAGTGAATTTTTTTCATAAATAAGTAAAATAAGTATTTTTTTTTTTTTTTTTTGATTTTTTCGATTTATTATGTTGTGAGGGACAAAGACATATCCAATAAAGCAAAAATCATAAAAATCAGTCCATCCGTTCTCGAGTTATAAGTGCTAGAACCAACACAACTGTGTTTTATATATATAGATTGATTATGTCTGCGAACAAGCTTTTAAATTTATCGTTATTTCTTCTTTCGACGTGAAAAACGTTTTTCAAGATTTGATTCGATGTTTGATCAATTGATTCTATGAATTTTGTGTGTTTTCCGATCAGAATTTCTTTAAGAGATTCGACTTGGAGGTCTTGATGGATGTCCCTCTTCCTGATAAACCACGGAGCGTTGGTAATTTTTCGCAATGATTTTTTTTGAAAAGTTTAGAGCTTATAAAGGAGGAGCTTGTTTTCAAATCGAAAGAAGCTGGTGGATTTTTAGCCACTTTTTTGGGTCCCTTATGACGATTGGGGGAATTTTCGGTTCTCAGGTTGATCGGTGGATGTTTTTGAAGTTTTTGACAAAATTGGGTTGTTGATAATGGAAAGATTGGGATTGAATAGAGGGTTTTATGTTTGGGGTTTCTTAATTGAGGAAAATCATTGTCCGTATTGTAACCTTTTTAGTTAACAAATTAACAAGAGGCCCATAATATGCTCAGTTTGCTCAGCCAATAATTATTAGGGGTGGGTCAATAGTTTAATGAATACAGAATGGTACTGAATTTAAAAAAATGGTATATTATGCAATGATCATGTAATGTTAGCCATTAATACACGAGCATGTTGTAGGATACGAAACGAGCCGCAGGCGAGTTTCGTATATAACATGCGAGAGTATTAATGGCCATTACATGAGAGTTGCATACATTATTTTTTCTACTTTCATTACTAAACAAAATACTTACATATTTATTTCAAGAATAGTAAACTTCTCAACTGTTGACAATTGTTGGCAGCTATTGACAATTTCGAAAATTAAGATCTAGACATCATTTGGACATAAATGCCGCACCCGATTTATCAATTTTATGTTGTTTCTTTTGGTAAATAAGTCTGTTATTTTTACATTAACATTGTTCATGTTCAAAATAATTCGATTCCAGTGGCTGAAAAATCTGTATCATAATGAAGTTCATTTTGAATTAGATTTTAAGCATATTATGAAACGTCAGTGGAAAAAAAAAATATATATATTACATTATTGAAGGGTGAAAATTCAGAAACACACCTAAAAAAATAATCAGCAAACGTTAATTGATAATTCTGAAAAGGAAAATAAGGCATATAACTCAACCAAATCTTGAAATAGGTAAACCACTAAAACAATTGAGTAAGTTTCAAATTGTATTAGTGAATATTTCACAGTGGGGTTAAAAATCAAGTATTAAATAATTTTGAAAGATAAAACCAATCGTTGGTAAAACACTTTATATCAAATCAATGAAAGAGGTTTGTACCTCAATATAGTTGCCATATAGGTTCCTTAACAGTCGTTGGCCATATCATTATCATGAAATGAAAATATAAAAGATTTAAGTTTCCAGAAAACTCATTTAAAAAAAATCAATGACTAAAAATTTTAATATATATGGATAAATATGGTCTGCGGCTGCCAGAAAAATAAAATCACTAAAATCAAATTAAAACTGTATGAAATCAAGGGTTAAACGTTGAAGGTATAAAGGAGACATAACCGAAAGCCTCAAGTATATAAGTTATTATAGAACCCAATTGAAAAATTGATCAATTTTTGACGATGTACATACTTACTCAATAATTTTGAATTTAGAACATATTGTCCAACATTGACCTGAGTTCAGATTAATGATTATGGATTAATGAAATATACATTTTTTGTCTGTCTCCTACCAATATTTACCAAAAACTTATTGTTAACCTTTTTTTCCTCTACAAAATGCATGATCTGGCAGCCTATGATATCCATACCTGTTACCATAATATGAGCTAATTTATTGCCTCTGATGATGGGATTTACTAATACCAAAAAATGAAGGGCGGTTTAATTTAAAACGAATAAAGAATTTTTGGAGATTTTTCTCTGAATTTGAATTTGTATTATCCATGTCCACATAGGTACTCTGCTATGGTGCGCTCGTTCTCTATGACTCGGAGTTTGAGGGTTTCAATTTATTGGGCAAGGGTATGGTTTGCCGAATTAAGGACTTTATTATGGGTAATCAGAGTTCTCGTTTTTTTCTACGTTTCGGAGTTTATTAGATAGGGTATACGGATTATTTGACCCACTTCTGTATTCATTTATGTTTTTTGGTTTTCCTGTTCACTAACATTTGCACTACGTTATTGACCGGAATTGGGAAGGAAGCACACCGCATCGTGGTAGCTGATGAGCTGAGATTTTCTCAATTCCGGATTCGGTACCTATCCATTTCACTGATATATTAATCCAGCTTGCTTGTATTATGTGTTTGCGATTGAAACACTTGATTACTTGTTGAAATCGGAGAAAAGGTCAATAAGTCAGAGGGAAGAATAAATGAATGAGAACAATAAACACGGTCAGAACTGACAGGAGAAAATAGAAACAGTATGAAAATGATAATGACAAAAACTTGACTGACGAAAATGTACGTCGCCTCCGTCTCATTACGATACCTGGACTTTTGCTGCACCCATTTAATTGGGTAACTTTGTTCAGTTGAACATCTCGAATCTTCTTATAGCTGATTCGCTTGTGAATTTTACCTTGCATCTAGTATTTAGAAGCGAAGGATGAATTTTATTTAATGTAGTCTATGTCATGGTATTCACTGTCAAGCCAGATTTGTCTAAATATCTCACTTATCTTCAATTTATTCATTTTCTTCCAACAAATTCTCCATATTGCACCCTGTATGAGATACGATGTATTTCATGTTATAAGGTAGTTTTCTATCAAAATCAAACCCTCTATAAAATCTGTAGATACTAGGAGTATTGCTTGCTTACTACAGCCTTGCTTGAACAAAACAAGGGTATTTTTGGTTAGTACTAGGAAAGCGCTCAATTCTTCGGGTATGTGTAATAATTATAATAAGTAACATATTTTTCACGATCTGAATAGTACATTGCAAAGGTAATTTACATTGAAATGGTAATTGTTAGGTAATTTATACAAACAGCAATAACCATTGGATTGATTTTTTTCAAATTTAAAATGTTTATAATGCCAACTCGGTCCCGGATGTGGAAGAGGCAAAACAAAAAAAAACATTATGGATATTCCCCTGTTCACCTTTCCAAAACAAAAGTTACTGAAAAAAAGAAACTGGTGGCTTGATCCATTTACTGAGATAGAACTGTTTTAAAACTTTTTATAAAACTTTCAACTGAAACTGATGGATTTTCCACCGAATTTCCAAATCAGCTATTTATCAGTAAATCCTTTCTCGAAAAATAGAGAACCGTCGAAAACACTGGCTGCAATAGAAATAGGATAGGAAAAGGAAAACAGAAAGATTTGTTGAAAGCTTTTTGAAGATATATTAGATATTCCTAAGTACTTTTCTGGATGTAGGTATCTAAGTCATGGTCAAAATAAAAACTAATGAAATACAAATTTTGTGACTTAGGTTGTTATATTTCGAAGAGCTAATAAATCTTTTTGTTTCTATAAACGTTTATTAAAAATAAGTACATTATTATGTCATAACTAGAAAAAAAATAGGTTTGAAAAAATATGTTTGTTAAGGAAGATATATGTAGGTACTCGCCCGAAACAATTATCTGGGCTTCTTTGCATACTTATTCTAGTACTTTTACAAATTTGATAAACTCTTTGCGTTCCCAAATCAACCACTATATTTTGAATAATTTTCCATAACATGTTACTAATGATAATGATAATAATTATATTATGTAATAAAATTGTTACCTCAACTTGTTGAATTTCAACTTCAGTCTCCTCTTGTGCCGATGATGGTCCATAGCTATCCTGTGGGTTATCACAAATCACATCCCCCAAATGACAGAATATCCAGCCGAAACCAATAATAATAATGCCCGTACGTTTCATGATGTTTTATACAATCAAAAAATGATTCTGGGCTATTATTTATATATCACTTGTTAATGTTATTGATACGAACAATAAATTTAACATGCATTGCGCGTATTGGATTTAACCCCCGCGTATATATGATATGGCAAAGTTTCAATGCAAAAGGCCAAATCGTCGATATGAATTTTAATCGAATCAATAAAATAATAATTAAAATTCTATAGGAGATTGCATTGGTTTTTGATTTTATGTAAATTGATGAAAATATTTGCATTTGGAATTTGTTTTCAAATAAAAGAATTACTCGAACTAAATTTCGTCTTGCAGCTGTCATTATGCAAGTTCACACTATTTTCAATTAAATTTTTGTACAAACAGCTGCCACACAGTGAATAGTTTAGTCAGTAGCTGGCCACATTAGCAGCTCACTTTTCAGTGCAAATTAGTTCAACCTTTTGCCTATTTGGATTAATGGATTTCAAAAACTTTTTTTCATTTTTCTAATAATTATCATCTATAAGACATTTCCTATAATTTGTGTAGTCAAATATTAACAATAAATTATTAGGTTAGTAATTTGATAAACTAACATTTCATGCAACACAAAAATATTATATTTCACATTTGGAGTGAAATAATAACAACTCAAAATAAATAACAACGTATATCATATTACTTGCAAATTAAGCAGAATGCAATTTTGGTTTACAGAAAAACATACATACGTATTTTGTAATTAAGTACTTTCAATTCTACATAAATATTGTTTGTTTTAATTTATATTTCTATAAAATAAATAAATTGAACTGTTGATTGTGGCCTTTATAAAAACCGAGGACATGCATATATTCTTCGGTTGTGGTCACGTGTAGAAATTTGAATTTTGGGGTAGTATTTGGTGAATTTCTTCACCTATAGTTATGCCACCCAAAAACTTATAATCTACGAATATTTTATCAATAATAGAAAATTATCCGATTTTTCAAAACTTTTCACTTTTCGTGGTATGCGTATTTGTCCCGACAGTATTTGTATCGACAGTAGAAATCTCGACACAACGTCACCAAAGTCCGAATCTCGACAAATTTGTTGGACACGCCCCACAACTCTACCAGCATTGTCACTTATGTTCGCTCATTCGGTAAACTTGGTTCAGTTCAGTCAGGGTAGATATCATAAAACGTGAAAAATTAATGGTTCAGCAATTATATCGAACAATAAAAATTTAATAGTTATTTTCTTCGGTATTTTCGGACTGCTATTAAAAACTTGTTTTATGGAGAGTTACAGCAAATTCTAACTACTGCAGGCAATAGTTAAAATTGTGAGTTTATTGAGTTATCGCATTTTTGTTAGCTATTGGGTTACTTTGGCTAGTGGGGGAAATAGCGTACAAATTTATATTAATAAAATAAAATGCAACAAAAGTCCTCTTCTCACAATTCTTCATTAAATGCTACTTTAGTTTCGGGGTCTATAATTTACACCCCATCTTCAGGCAAATCACAAGTACATCGAGAATTGTCTCATTTGAACATCACAGCCATTTAGCATTTTATTTTAAGATGAACTCACATAGGTTGTCAATTGACCATTGATATTATAAGTTTATTATGATTTGTGACGTGCCAAAGTTGCCTAACTATTTCATGCCTGTTTCAGTTTTCGATTCAAGATTCGTTCAATTTTGTTTACCTTTCTCCACTATAAATTTCAACCATCATTACAGCAATTGCAGATCCTGTAAATTTTCTAATTTTCAATATTTAAATTCTATTTTCATTTGTTACTAGTTCCTGTGATGAAATGATTTTCCTCGATTTTAATTCCATTTCAAATCTGATTTTCATTATAAACAAATCAAATATTCATTTGTCAAAAATATTTCCGGGGTTATGTCCAAATCCTGATCCGTTTCCAAAGTGCCTGTACCGTACTACTCTCTGTTCGGCTGCTGAACTCAGTGCCAGTTCTGCACCCGGTTCAATCATTGGTTCCATACCCAACCGGATTGCTATCCTTGCTCTCTATTTTATAATGACACTTGACGCTTAAGTCATGTCACTCTTGATTTGCTCTCAGCTGACTTTTGCCATTAATTTTTGTCGAGTCGCTTTCGATTAGTAATGTTTTTGGGATCGTCGATTCCTGTTAAGTTTTGCAACCCGAATCGCTTACTACATGTCCTATTCTTCAAATTATAATTGTTCTATTGGATAATTCCTTGTTGTTATTATCATTAGTCATCAGCTGTTGTCATTTTTCTCTGATTATATTGTTGTGTGCAATTTTTGGTAAGTAGGAATTCTATCGATTAATTTTTGACGTTTGTCGTTATTCTGAATCATCTCTGAATTCCTACCTTTAGGTCAGATAATTAATTTTATGTGTTGGACATTTCTTTCACGTTTTGGTTTGCTCGGAGAAAAGGTCTCTCTTGAAGATTTTTTTTTTCTTCGCCCTAAAAGGGATTTTGGACCTAATATTCTCACTAATTGAATTTATAGCGCATTGAGTTTCCTCACGTCGAGTTTAATTTTCGTAAGCGCTCTAATTTTCGCCAATGTTATCGGATTTGAAAAAAAAACCATTTTGGTAAGTTGCTTTGCACGTAATTTTTTTCCCACAAGATTCTGACTTTTTCTATTGAATCATTAGTGAAAAGCTGCCCTAAAGAGTAGAGTAAAGACCATCCCACTCACTCCAGGATTTCGAATCCAGACCTCAATCCAGATTTCCAGAGTATTTTCGAGGCAAACAAAACCCTATTTCCAACAGGTAAAACATAACCTTAGTAACCTCAAATTTTCTTTGCAAACTCGAGGCGCATTTTCTGATTTTATCTAATTTAATTATTATCATTCAATTTTTCTATTAAAATAATTTTCGAGAGCTACAGTTTTATTAAGTAAATTTGCTATTAAAGACTAATTAAATTTAATTTTCTAATTTTCTCTTCATAAGTGCCTTGCTACGGCTATGGTTCAATTGCAAATGCATTGTGTTATAGAAAAAATTCTCTTAGGGTTTTTAGTAACGGTTATATTGTGGCATAACCATACACGTAAAATTGTAAGGCTATCAAAACTCAGCCTAAGCCTTCTAGTTGGACGTTTATACAAGCCTTCTCAACTGTTAATTTTGAACCGTAAGATTGGTTTGACCATCTTAACCATAACCCAGGACTCATCTGGTTCATTGTACCTACTGCTACCATCTGGAACATTTTTGTATCGTACTAGCTTTAGTTATCCTAACTTTATTTCATTGTTTATTTACATTCTGTTCCTATTTTGTGCGCCAAAGTGATCACTAAGGTATTTCAGGGAGTAATTCAACAACAGTTATTGTTATAGGTGATTTAGCTAGACGAAACCTGATTCAGTTGGTTGGTTATTTATGTCATCTTACTTGTAGTTCTGGTTACATCAGTGTAAGGTAACCGCTCCGACAACTAATTGTTTATTTAATTTTTTGTTTTGTTTCCTTATTTCTCTTTATCTTGTATTTTCAACTTTTACATTTTTTTTTTAAATTTTTTATTATTAAGTTGGTTATTGAGTTACAATAACATTTTTGATATTGTTTCATTGTGGAACTGGTAAATAAACAGACTTTAGCACTTAATTCATATTGACTTTTATTTGGTTTCATGCACACAGCCTAGTTTTAGCTTTTCTTGAATAATATTTTGTTTTATTATTTGAATTGTAAGGACCTGAAGCCAGATAATATCCTGGAGAGTTCGACTCATCTGTCCAGAGTCGGTGGCGCCCAAAAATAAAACCCACCCCTACTCTCCGAATTGTTTAATTCTGAGCTAGGGCATAATTTGCACGCACTTCGACTTTGAGTCCTACAATCTCAAGTTCTTCATTAAATTTTATTTTATTTTTATTTTTTTAAATTTATTTTTTCTCTTTCTAAACTTTCTATTCACCGAAAAAGCATGGCAGATTGCTTCCTTATTGTCGTGTTTCATGATACCCGATCAGAAAATAGACACTGAACTGAACCAAATCTACCGAATAAAGGTAGAAACCACACATTTCCAACACACGGCCGCATGATGGTCGTACTTTAAGCGCGGTCGGTTCGGTAGTTTGTCACTTGGAAGTGTGTGTGAAAAAATCGAAAATGTTCGCCAGCTTCACCAACAGCGTTGGACGATGCAGAAAATTAGAGAAATAGTAGAAAACGAGGAAAAATTTGGACTAGTTTCTCTTTTTGTACTGAGAAAATACTGAGAGTCCGTCCAGCAACGCACTGTGCCCGTGAAAAATTAAAGGATGATTCATGGTACACCGTGGCAGGCCCGAGCCGTGCTCGTTCCGGGGAGTGGACACCGAACCCCGTCCGAGCGTTCTGTACATTTTACACCGCGTTGTGAACGAGGATCGCGTCCGTGCCGAATATACTACAACACGGTCCCTCCCAGTCGAGTATTTAACATACATCACTGCTCGTGCCCCGAAGAACGTTCATGCTTGTCGCAACGTACCGGGAATGCGGCGGATCCGTGGAAAAAATGTACCAGAGCATTTCTGTGACGGGGCACGGACGAGCCCGACGGAGACTCGGATCGTGCTCGGTCTAGCATGGATGCATGTTTGCCCGTGGCTTCACCGACGCACGGCTCGTGCCCGTCAGGGTGTACCATGAATCATCCTTAAACCAAACTTATCTCGCACGGTACGGACGCGGTGCGGTGGCGCCCCCCGGGCGCGGTGCGGGCACGGTACGTAGATGTGAATACTACGACATAAGAAAACATGGTACAATTCATCAGCGAGACACGGCCGTGTCTCGGTACGGACACGGTGCGGATACGGTGCGGTCATGTGTGTCCAGACCTTTAGCGAACATAAAAAGTAAAGTTGTACAGTTCTAGGACTTGTCCAACAAATTTGAGACAAATACCAGTTCGAGCTAAGTTAGGTTCGGGGCATATAAAGAGCTTGACTTGTGTATGTATCGAAATTTCTGTGATCGGAATAAATACTGTCGCGCCAAAT